TAGAATCAACAAAATTTTGAATATTGAAATTGTCATAGATGTGTGTGCGTACCATATATGTGATTGTGTTGTTGAATGTCCAAAGATTTGTTTTTATAAAGAGCATTTTGGTGTTGAAAAACTGATGAAATAGCTTTTGTCACATACAGTCAGGTAGTCTGCGTAGCTTAGCACAAAGACTAAAAAATAGCAGGCTCTGATCTGTTCTCTGTGCTCTGAATCGAGTGAATCAGTAGCAAAATGCAAATGTAAAAACCATTTGCTATTTTATAAAAGGTTACCTGACTTTTTTTCTCAGCCAAGCAGAGACCTTTGCCAAGATTTTATTAAAGTTTGTGCACGTTTAAGTTTCCTGTTGGTGGTCTTTGTTGCTACACTAACCAACTACAGCTATATATTGTATATGGATTATACATCCTCTTGTAAAATGTTCAGCAGGACAGAGTAATGAATATTCTCCAAAATGTGACATCTTTGTTAACCCAAGTGATAATCATAATCTTTATTTGTGTTTAAAATAAACCACACCAACATTTCTTATTATTGCGTGTGTGATATATATATATATTTATTTATTTATTTATTTTTTTATTTTTTTATTTTTTTATTTTTTTATTTTTTTATTTTTTTTCTGTGTACCATAAATACAATCAGGGTATTGATTCGCTCAGTATTTCACTCACCACAGTCCCTGCCTGTGCTTCTGCTCCCTCCAGGTTGTATTTGGAACGTCAGAAGAACAACTTCCATCTTCACTCTGTGGCATGTACGGGTACAGAGGTCCATCTGGCCGCCTGTCCGCTGGAATTCAACAAGCCAAACGCCACATCCTCCTGCGCAGGGGGCATGCCGGCTGTCATTAGCTGCATGCCGGGGCCGCTGTTCATGCAAAACAGCGGTTTGAAAAAGAAACTGAAAATTTCGGTAAAGTATTTTTTTGTGAAGTGGTCACAGATATGTGCTGGCATAGTTGAATAACGTGAAGTGTCTCTTTGTTGTTTAGACCAATGTGAGGCTGAAGGGAGGTGCCAAGGTAGGCGAGGGTCGGGTCGAGGTGCTGAAAGACAACGTGTGGGGGACTGTGTGCGACGACCGCTGGAATCTGCTGTCGGCCAGCGTTGTCTGCAGGGAGCTCGGCTTTGGCAGCGCCAAGGAGGCTCTCACCGGTGCCCGCATGGGTCAAGGTCAGGAATGATTAAAAAGTTTGTACAATGGTGATCTTTGGCTGCTCCAATCTGCATGTCAGAGTATCCTTGAGTGGGATACTGAGACCCAAGCTGCCCCCTATGCATTCATCAGAGTGTGAGTGTGTGAATGTTAGGTTTCAAGTACTTTGGCATAGTAAAAAGTGCCTGTGTGTGTGTGACTGGGTGAATGAGGCTTGTAGTAAGAAAGTGCTTCAGAGGGCTCAAATTCAATAGAAAAGTACCAGTGCATATCTAAAAGGTAACTGATCTGGTTCCACATATAGATATCTAACTCAACTGAAGAGGTTATTTATAGAGAAATGTTTGTACAGATTCAAAAAAATTATTTTATAAGACTTTGATCATTGAGTGGATTCTGTTTGAGGGGTTTTTTTGCATTAAATCTCTTTGAAGCCAGGATGTGTTTATAACTGTCTTCAGAGAGGACTTCAGTCGCCAGCTGTCCGTCTCTGGCCTTCTAATCTCTCAGGTCATCGCTTCAACCTGCAGAACTGATAATCTGCCTTTAACATTCCTACACGGATTCCTCATTTGAAGCTTTTTGAAAAAGTAAAGGAATGCTACACTTGTAGAAAGATAAAAATGAAGGAATGGAGGACATGAGAGACAGAGCTGTAAATGTATTGTGCATTTTCTGATGAAGTCATTACAATAATGGGCCTTTCATAGTGTGTTTTATCCATTAATTCTCCGACTGAGTGCCCCATTCATTATATAGCTTTTTTTTTTTATGTGTTTGTGATTCCCAAGTGGTGGTCAGGCACTTTTAGAGCAGAAAAGTATTTTTTTTCCAGCTGGGCTATGGATCATTTCATGTGACGACGGGGCAGTCAGTTTTATAAGGCCAGCATGTGTCTGGGCCACCTGGGCTCCACATGAGCAACAAGAATGACTTTTTCTGCCAAGGTGTAGAAGACATTGCATAGAGTCAAAGATGTGTGTACACTGAAGACATATAGAAATGTAATCTATGACAATATATGCATAGATTATGGTGAGTTGTGTTGTTAAATAACAATTGTAATCATTTTTGTAGCTAAACTCCCTGGTCTGCACTTTGTCCATTTCCTTGGCTTGTAGGAAAAATATTAAAGTTGTTGAAATTTGGCTGAAAAGCTGATCTGCTTCCAAAAGCCTCACTGAAAGCTTAGAGCAGGCAGGTTGGGAATCCTGAATGAAGCAGTTTTTTGTGTATGTGTGTGAGGAAATGCATGTCCTTGTGAACAAATTGCGCCTTTGTTAGGTCGTTTAAGGTGCTGAATTTCGAAGAATTTTCTAAAACCAATCCACACACACACCACAGCTGCACATAGATAATACAATTAGTTTCTTGCAGCTTCATAAAGAACACACCCGTCACACCCGCTCTCAGAAATGCTGGGTGGGGATGTCTGCTGTAGTTTGTGTACAGCATGATATCTACCACAGAAGAAGTTGGCCTGGGCTGTCTTCCAGAAAGCAGGTTTAGTCAAAACCTTGAATTCATTAACCCTGAGATGCGATAAACTCTGGATTTTCCACTCCAGACAGAAAAGCAACACAAACTCTGGGTTCATTTCTGAAATCTTGCTCTTCTCACTGGCACGTGTTCCTTAGCATGCCTTGAGTTTAGTTTTCAGCTTTTAAGACACAGGGTGTCCTTTACATGATTAATGCTTATTTGTTTATTTATAAGGAACCACATTAGCTTCCACAACATTGGTTGCTAGTCTTCATGGGGCCCAAACCATCAAATACAATCAAATAAAATATTACACAATAAAGTGGATACCAAATATCCACATAATTTGGCTCTTACATCCACAGTAAGGTTTTACAATTGTGAAAATATAAGCATATAAATATCAATAACACCAAAACAAAATACACAAATTTCCATTACAAATGGCATTGCCCTCTTACAGTATTTACAATGAATTAAAAGCTGCCTAATGCTCTAAATATAACAGAGTTTTTCAAAAAGTTGCTTTTAACTGGAGGAGTTACTAAATTGCGGTTTGTTGAAAATCGTGTACTACGGTTATGTATTTCATCTGGATATTGCAACTGAGCAGAAAAAAAATATGGTGTGTTTACCAGTATTGCTTTCTTCAAAAATACAAGTAAGCCATAGTATAATTTAGCTTGTGCAGAAAGCCAAGAATGTTTATCATGCATTTTATCAATATTTGTATAGTATGAACACCTTAACACTAATCTGGCCACCTTGTTCTGGACTAACTGAAGTCTGTTCAGATCTGTCTTATTAGCTGCTGACCAAATGATTGATTTGCGCCACCGGTTTATGCCCGACAATATTTTCACGGACCGGCCTTTAAGGTGTCGCGGATAAATACAACAAAATAAAACTAGTACCGGTACCGAAAAAAAGAAGATTTATTCATAACACACGTGAAAAGACCCAGGAAAACCGAGTTAACGATAAAAACGATAACAAAATAACGCTGAAAACCGATAAAAACCCTGAAAACCATACATTTCACACCTGTCATATGAATGTGAAGACAAATTGATTTGTTTAAATAACTATTTTTATCTGAACAGCACTCTACCTTTAAAATATTACATGCAGCAGACGTTTTCTCAGTCTGCCTCTGTTGGAGGTGATGTTGGTAGCACCGGCTCTGGAATCTTTTAAAGCCTATATTATCAAAAGTATTCACTTACCCATCCAAATCATTGAATTCAGTTGTTTCAAACACTTCCATGGCCACAGGTATGTAAAATCAAGCATGTAGACGTGCAGCTTTGCTACTAAATATTCCACAGTCAGCTGTTGGTAGTATTGCAACAAAGTGGAAGCGATTGGGAACAACAGCAACTCAGGTACAATCAAAGAGCGGATTCAGCAGATGCTGAGGTGCATAGAGTGCAGAGATCACCAACTTTCTGCAGAGTCAATCACTACAGACCTCCAAACTTCATGTGGCCTTCAGATTACCTTAAGAACAGAAGATGGAGAGCTTTATAGAATGGGTTTCCATGGCTGCATCAAGCCTTATATCAGCAAGCAGAATTCACAGCTTCTCCATCTGGCAACTCAATGTATGAGTCTGTGTTTGGTGGTTGCCAGGAGAACCATACTTGTCTGACTGCACTGTACCAAATATAAAGTTTGGTGGAGGGGGGTTATGGTGTGGGGTTGTTTTTCAGGAGTTGGGCTCAGTCCCTTAGCTCCAGTGAAAGGAACTCTTAATGCTTCACCATACCAAGACATTTTGGACACTTTCATGCTGCCAACTTTGTGGGAACAGTTTGGGGATTGCCCCTTCCTGTTCCAACATAACTGCACACCAGTGCACAAAGCAAGGTCCATAAAGACATGGATGGGAGAATTTATGGAAGAACCTCAAACTTGAGTCACTCAAGTTTGAGGCCTTTATAGGCACACCCACACAGCCCTCAGCAGTGGCCTGGCCACTGTGGGGTCCTCGCAAAATTCCCTCTTAGCAAAAAGGCAAAATTGTGATGGGCCAAACACAGGCTGGCCTACTTGGGGTCTATATAGAGGCTTCAAATGGCAAAACTGCTGTGGGATAAGCACCTTCCAAATATATTTTATGCCACTTCTTTCATTAAATTCATTCCGATCAGCTGCTGTGGATCCAGAGCAGGGTTACACTCGGACATTGTCAGTCATGCTTCCTGGAACAGACCTCTGCTGTGTGTTCAGACTCCTGTCCGACCACCACCTGGCTCAGCGAGTCCAAGAAACATTCCTGAACGTCACTGAAGTCGGAAACGAGTGCGGCCGAAGGAATTCCTTTCACAGAAATTACGCATCACAATCACCTCATGGTGCTATGACTTGCAGAGACAGAGTGAGAGTTTAGAGAGTAAATATGAAGCAGGGTGGTGCTGACCGATGTTAAAAAGTGAGCTCGGTATTTGTTTCAGTACTGCAAACAGTTTGGAAGCCATGCAAAAAGAGACCTTTTAATTCTGCATATTGTAGCATATCAAGTATATTATAATAACCACCATAAAATCCAAAGACTACAATTTCAGTACTGCTAGTTTGGGGTGCTTCTTCATCTTTATTGGCTGAGCTTCTCAAAACCAGATTGAGCCTTTTGAAAGGTCCAAAAAGCAGTCGTGACCTGGATTGTACTAAATCAGATTAAACTCCTAATTAACTGCCTTGGGGCTCAGTGATTGAGCCTCAGTTGAGTGAAACCCTCAGTTTTTGTCAAAAAATGTTTTTAGATAAGGTTTCCCCATAATTAACTACAACATCCATAACTGAAATCTATTACGTCAGAAGCTCTAAATGTGTTGTGTTTCCAAGCTCTTAAATACTGTAGGATGTGTCTCATCATTTTGCCTTGAAAGACTATCAAAAGTAACTTCAAAGTTGTCAGTGCATCTGTCTGTCTGCTTGTCCAGGAATGGGTCCGATCTACATGAATGAGGTGAAGTGCCTCGGGCAGGAAAGGTCCATCTGGGACTGCCCCGTTAAAAACATCACATCAGAGAACTGCCAGCACTCAGAGGACGCTGCTGTTCGCTGCAACGTGCCTTACATGGGCCTCGAGACCTCGGTCAGACCTGAACTTTCTCACTAAAATGTTTCATTTAAAAGTTGTTAATTTGAGAAATTCTTGTTGTTTTATATGGAATTCATAGCAAATAGACTTACTTTTCTAAACAGGCTGAATGATTCGAATGTTTAGATTGTTTCTATCTTCTACAGGGGGGATAGGAAAGAAGTTAAATATTGTCTTATTTCACACTGTTTATTTTAGTATCTTTTCTGGCCTTCAGTAGAAGCTGCTTTAGTCGTCTTTGTGCACAAAAATGTGAGATTTAGAGCTAACAGTAAGAACAATCTCACATCTGTTCTCAACCAATAATCCTTCGGTACTGTTGTCACAAAAAAGCTCATTGGCCAAATCCTCAGTTTGAGTTTCACATTTGTCTGCTTTGAATGAGTTTCCTTGTTGAGTTGCTGAAAAAGCAAATCAAAATGTTTTTAAAAACATCTAAATTCAGTTTGAAAAAGCTTTTTCTGACAGCAGTGACCTCTTCTGAAACCCGAGTATTTCTGGTTACGCTTCTCCTTGTGTAGATACACACAGACGGCGGGCTAAAACCTCCTGAAATTAGATACTATCATCAAAATAAACCTTCAGAAAATGTAATCTCATTAATTATCATCTGTAGTAAAACATGTATTGATTTTTCATGAAGTAGCCTGTAATATTTTTGACATAATTAGAGGTTGTTCACAAGAGAAAACCCGTCTCTTTGTGCATCTACACTTTGCTTTGTGGTTCCTAACCCCTTGGTCCCGCACAGATCCGAATCACAGGAGGACGAACCCGCTATGAGGGCCGTGTCGAGGTGCTGACCTCGGACCCTAATGGGACACAGAGCTGGGGTCTGATCTGTGGTGAAAACTGGAGCACCAAGGAGGCCATGGTGGCCTGTAGGCAACTGGGCTTGGGCTACGCTAACCAGGGCCTGCAAGTAGGTTATTAACACCACCAAGGACAACATTCTGCAACAGAGTAAACTGTTGTCTTTTTTGGTACATATAAATCATATGGAAATATAATATACTGTCATGTACACCCAATGGCCTTTCATTTTAGTTTGTTTTTAAGGCTTCAGTGTTGTTAAAAGTGAAGAAACTCCTTGTTTAGACGACTGTATCTGCAGTTGACTGTATTCAAGGCAACAGTGTACTCAAATAGACAGAATCTAAGACTGGGGAGTGTTCACGCCATAGATTTTGCCTCACATGAGCCTGGTGCATTTAAAATGTGGTCTTCAATGGTGGATTCTGTGGTAGCAGTTTTAGATTTGAAATCATACAATCAGTCTTCTAATGGACTACTGATCTATGGTTGCTGTCATTTAAGTACTAGTCCATTATTTTTGTAATTGTATCACCAAAATCATCCTTAACTGCTTGAATCAGTCAGGATGGATACATAGAAAAAATCCTGTTTCTTCTCATGTGGTAGTTTTCCATTGCCTTCTTACGTTCTGATGAAACTCGAAGTTTTAGCTGTGTAGGTCATGTTGCCTAAGAGGACAGGAGACTTTCCATTTTCTTCCGGGCACCAATACTCTGTCGCCTTAAAGGCAGTAGTGTAGTAAACTCCAGATGCCGACATCCTCAAAATAGTTGCAGCTGTTTTTCTGTTTCTGAGATGCTGAATCCAGCTTCTCTGGCAGTAGCTGCAGGGGCATGTTTACCGGCACGTAATCATGAAGCACTCAGCTCATCACAGGCACACGCACCACAGAGTGCAATAAATGAAACGGCCACTGAGTGTGCAGCTTTTTTTTCTTTTGGTGCATAAATGCTCAAATATATGACTAACGTAGGCTTAAATTATTGCAGTATATGTTTTAAGATTATATTTGAGCATGCATTCATGAACATGTGACAGCATATTATAATTTACATATGGGTAGCTGTTTCTTTCTCTGTCTGGGGGAAAAAAAAACAAACCACTTTCGTGCAAGTGAAGCTTCTAATCTGACCCAAAACCGCTCGCCACCAAAGTGATGTGGTGACCTCATGTGGAAACCATGTCGATGTTTTCGTCGCCTAGAAAAGACTAACCAAACTGCTGCTTCGACAACACACTTTCTACTGTGGGAGGACTGGATATGAACATTGACAGGTTTAGCTTAGACAGTTCAGAGACAGGACAGGAAGTGTGTCCCCTCACTGACTCCCAGCAGGAAAACTCTGCAGATCCGGATAGTGGGCGGCCGGAGCAGTTATGAGGGCCGGGTGGAGGTTCAGGTTGGGTCCAAGTGGGGCACAGTGTGCAGCACAGGCTGGACCACAAAGGAAGCCATGGTGGTTTGCAGGCAGCTAGGGCTCGGCTACTCCATGCATGCCATCACTGTAAGTAGGAATGAAGACTTAAATCACACATGAACAAAACATGCACAGAAGTAATGATAGCACAGACTGTGATATTGCTGATGTGATATTCAGGATTGCAGTAGAAGCATTATGAAGTTGAAGAAACATAGATTTGAATTACAAGTATGTTGTGTTTTACATTTCTTACTATAAACTTTTGTCTTTCTTTCTGTAAAAACTGAGGAAAGCTCACAGGAAAACTGACCAAAAAAACCCCCAAATTGCTGAATTTAACTGACAGCATTTAGAAAATTCTAAACGCTAGTGAAGCTTTTCAGACCCTCATATTTGTCACAGTGACTGATATAAAGTGAACAATTCAAACCTACAAAAAACTATTTGTAAGAAATGTGTAGAAGTTCAAAATTGAACTTTGCAGAATCCAATTTTTGTAAACAATATTGCTTAAAAATGTTATTCTAGGTAGATCATAGTTATTGGTGCAACAGAATTTGAATCCCAGTTCACTGCTGATATTTTGAAGCCAAGCAGAAAACCAAGCAAAATGTGCAGATGTGCAACTTCACTGGCTAAAGTATAAAAAATGGGTAGAACGGACAAGGATGTGCACAATTACAAGGATGTGCTATTGAATTTTCCACTACAGCTAATGAGGCAGATTTCTACTTTGATCACTAGAGAGTGACTGTTGCACGTTATATTTAAGGGTTCGATTAGGCTATTGTTGCGTGAGGTTGAGAAGCCTTGCAGAAAGACTATTGAGTCTCTTAGCATCTGAACAAAGTGGTCATAAAGTCAGCATTACACTCTGTCCTCATTCAGGGGCCAAAAATGAGTCATGAACATCTGTTTTTCAGAACGTAATAGCGCACTGAACTCTGCAGCAGTCTGCGAATGATTTTGTCCTGATCGACGCACCGTGTTTTTTGTTTTTTTTGTCTTTGCACGTGTGCCTGTTTTGTTATATCTCTTTAAGGAAACCTGGTATTGGGACAGCAGTAATGTGACAGACATGGTGATGAGCGGTGTGAAGTGCATGGGAAATGAGATGGCTCTGAGTCAGTGCCAGTACCACAAAACTGTCAGCTGCCAGAGAGCGGCAGCAAAGTTTGCAGCGGGAGTAATCTGCTCAGAGAGTGAGTGACACGGAGACAAACAAAAGCTTTGATTGTTCTTATTTATGTAAATCTGCAGCAAGATTAAACTTCTGCTGTGTATTACCACAAAAAGAATGAGGACTATATCTCAATCCTAACCCTCCTTCTCTATCCAGCGGCCTCTGACCTCGTCCTGAATGCCTCTCTGGTTGAGCAGACAGTTTATATCGAGGATCGCCCTCTGCACATGCTCTACTGCGCTGCAGAGGAGGACTGCCTGTCTAAATCAGCTGCGAAGGCCAACTGGCCATACGGACACCGCCGCTTGCTCCGCTTCTCCTCTCAGATCCACAACATCGGCCGCGCCGACTTCAAGCCAAAAGCTGGACGGCACTCGTGGGTGTGGCACGCCTGTCACGGGTAAGAAACCAGGTCTATTATGAAAACAATAACCTCAATATGTGATTAAAGAATTAAAGGTTAAACCCCGAATAGTGATTTGCATTTCAATCAAAATAAGTTTGTGGAAGTTTAATTTTTTTTATTATAGCAAAAATTTCAGAAGGTCTCTGACTCTCAAAGTCTCAGTGGAAAGACAAAGGAAGAAACTTTTGTTTAGGTTCACGTTGTTAAGGTCTCATCCTGTTAAAAGGGAGTTCTTCCTCCTCACAGTCGCCAATTTCTCACTCATATGAGATCATGTGTTGTTGGGGTTTTCCCTACTTATTTTAAGGTCTGGGATTAAAATCAAATTGCTTAAATCGATCTGGATTTATTTGAAAAAGGAAAAGAAAAATATTTATAACACGTTAGGTGATCCACACATACTGGTAAATCAGTTTTGGGAGTATCTTTCTGTTCCCAAAATCGTGTTAAAACAAAATTCACCATTGAAGCAGAAAAGTAGGTATGAATAAACTGACCAAATGAACATAGGAGATAACTATGTTTATTATTATTTCATTTAAAAAGGACTAGAGTCTAGTATAACTCCAGTCTGTGTGTTTTTGTTTAGTCTGTGAGAAACAAAAAATGTGTTCAGACTGGCGGAAAGAAAGTAGGAAGGGTGCTTATGTCTGCTATTCAGATAACAGCAGAGGACCAATTGTGTTTATCCAGTAACATGACTGGTATGAACTGACTGAGTGTTTAGACTTTGGGGATAAGTGTTCACAGGTCATATATTTGAGGCGTTAGTACAGGGAGTGTAGAATTATTAGGATTATTAGGATGAGGAATAATGTTATTATTGAACAACAACCATGTTCTCAATGAACCCAAAAAACTCATTAATATCAAAGCTGAATGTTTTTGGAAGTAGTTTTTAGTTTGTTTTTAGTTTTAGCTATTTTAGGGGGATATCTGTGTGTGCAGGTGACTATTACTGTGCATAATTATTAGGCAACTTAACAAAAAACAAATATATACCCATTTCAATTATTTATTTTTACCAGTGAAACCAATATAACATCTCCACATTCACAAATATACATTTCTGACATTCAAAAACAAAACAAAAACAAATCAGCGACCAATATAGCCACCTTTCTTTGCAAGGACACTCAAAAGCCTGCCATCCATGGATTCTGTCAGTGTTTTGATCTGTTCACCATCAACATTGCGTGCAGCAGCAACCACAGCCTCCCAGACACTGTTCAGAGAGGTGTACTGTTTTCCCTCCTTGTAAATCTCACATTTGATGATGGACCACAGGTTCTCAATGGGGTTCAGATCAGGTGAACAAGGAGGCCATGTCATTAGTTTTTCTTCTTTTATACCCTTTCTTGCCAGCCACGCTGTGGAGTACTTGGACGCGTGTGATGGAGCATTGTCCTGCATGAAAATCATGTTTTTCTTGAAGGATGCAGACTTCTTCCTGTACCACTGCTTGAAGAAGGTGTCTTCCAGAAACTGGCAGTAGGACTGGGAGTTGAGCTTGACTCCATCCTCAACCCGAAAAGGCCCCACAAGCTCATCTTTGATGATACCAGCCCAAACCAGTACTCCACCTCCACCTTGCTGGCGTCTGAGTCGGACTGGAGCTCTCTGCCCTTTACCAATCCAGCCACGGGCCCATCCATCTGGCCCATCAAGACTCACTCTCATTTCATCAGTCCATAAAACCTTAGAAAAACCAGTCTTGAGATATTTCTTGGCCCAGTCTTGACGTTTCAGCTTGTGTGTCTTGTTCAGTGGTGGTCGTCTTTCAGCCTTTCTTACCTTGGCCATGTCTCTGAGTATTGCACACCTTGTGCTTTTGGGCACTCCAGTGATGTTGCAGCTCTGAAATATGGCCAAACTGGTGGCAAGTGGCATCTTGGCAGCTGCACGCTTGACTTTTCTCAGTTCATGGGCAGTTATTTTGCGCCTTGGTTTTTCCACACGCTTCTTGCGACCCTGTTGACTATTTTGAATGAAACGCTTGATTGTTCGATGATCACGCTTCAGAAGCTTTGCAATTTTGAGACTGCTGCATCCCTCTGCAAGATATCTCACTATTTTTGACTTTTCTGAGCCTGTCAAGTCCTTCTTTTGACCCATTTTGCCAAAGGAAAGGACGTTGCCTAATAATTATGCACACCTGATATAGGGTGTTGATGTCATTAGACCACACCCCTTCTCATTACAGAGATGCACATCACCTAATATGCTTAATTGGTAGTAGGCTTTCGAGCCTATACAGCTTGGAGTAAGACAACATGCATGAAGAGGATGATGTGGACAAAATACTCATTTGCCTAATAATTCTGCACTCCCTGTATTTCTATTAAAAACATCTCCTAGTATTGCATTGTTAGAATGAGCATCAACCTAATGCACTTCCTGTGTTATCTTTGGTTTTTATCCTTTTGCCAAATATACAACATGTCAGAAATTCCTGTAAAGTCATCCTGTTATCACCATGTAGATTCCAGATATAAGCAAATACCATCACAGACCTCAGTGTGTGGTCAGTCATCAAAAGAGAAATACAGGATATAAAAGATAACATTTACTTCTTTTTATATTAAATACAGCCACTACCACAGTATGGATATATTTACCCACTATGATTTGCTGAATGCCAACGGTACCAAAGTGGCAGAGGGACACAAAGCCAGTTTCTGTCTGGAGGACACAGACTGTCAAGAAGGTCAGAATGATGATTTCCTTTTAATGAATTTATTATCAAATAAACATGACCAGAAAATTCCCTAACGACCTTTTTGCATTGCTGCTAGTCTTTCAAACATATCTCACTGAATCTGTCTCTTCTTCTGGGACATTAAGGCATTTCTAAACGATACGAGTGCGCCAATTTTGGCGATCAGGGCATCACCGTGGGCTGCTGGGATTTGTACCGTCATGACATTGACTGCCAGTGGATTGACATCACAGACATCAAACCTGGAAATTACATTATGCAGGTGAGACTGTGGGACTCAGTGTGTAGAAACCTATTTGAGAGAGTTATAGTGGAAATTCAAAGCACAGAACCCCAAAAATGGTGACGTTCAGATTGGTTTTACCCACATGAGGCCAGTTTCAGAGCTCTTTGGCAGATTCATATATATATTTCAGTGCTAGTAAAGGCAAACAAGGATAGATGATGCTTTGATTGATTGTACTTCAGCTGCCGTCTTTCAGTTTATCGTGCTAATACTGGAGCTTCAGTAAGCCAGCAGATCTATTACCACTGCACTTATACCTGTTAGAAACAAATTGCCATAATCAACAACAAAACATTGCCATGGCAACACGGCTATGTCTTCTTCAGAATTTAATTGTAGTACAAAGAGTTGATTGAACAAAGTGTGACAATCTCTATAAATGGAGATGTTTTGACTCTTTGCCTATCTTGAGCCAGATGTGAGGCCATCTGTTCAACAACTTAACACTTGGCCAAAACTGAGTCATGGAACAATGATCGCAAGCACAGCAGCAAATCTACAGCAGAATGGTTGACAAAGAAAAGAAGTCAACACTTCAACCTGACTGAGATGCTGTGGTGTCACCTTAAGAGTGCTGTGCATGCGATTCAATAAACCGAAACAATGCTGCAGAGAAGAGTGGGCCAAAATTCCTCCACGACGACGTGAGAGGCTGATAAAGTCACAGATTATTGCTTCATGTTATTGTTGCTAAATGGTTTCTACAAGCTACTGAATCATGGGGTATACTTAGCTTCTTACCTTTGTTTTTCGCAGGACTGAATCTCAGTGTTTCTCTGCAGGAAATAAAAAAGTACTTAATTTTTTAAAGAGCTCCACACATAATAACACCTACAGGGCAGATTAAGAAAGTTGATCTCCATAGTTTTCTTTTTTTATTTCTTTGAAAGTCCTGTTTTCAGGTCCAGGGAATAAAGTACAGCTTCATCGCTCTTTTTCTATGGGGAACTCTTCTCTTTAACTTCTCTTATACTCAATTCTGCATATATTCTGCATTTTCGTGTGCTTAGTATACTTAGTTTTGGGTCACACAGCTTGTCTGACCATAAAACCAACAGAGTAAGAATAGTTTATTTAATACTTCTCCTCTGTTCAGGTTGTAATCAATCCAAACTATGAAGTGGCTGAGAGCGACTTCACCAACAACGCCATGAAGTGCAACTGCAAGTACGACGGACATCGGATCTGGTTCCACAACTGCCACATTGGTAAGCAGTGGAAAGCAGTGAGACTACCAGATAATGATAATGATAATAAAATGTACTCTTATTGGCATCTCTGACCACCTTTACTGATTATTTGATCTCCCTGCAGGGGATGCATTGAGCGAGGAGGCAGAGAGGAGATTTGAGAAATATCCCGGACAGCTGAATAACAAGATTTCTTAATCGCCAGTAACTTCCCAGCAACTTAGAAACCAAAGCGGGAATAAAGATACACCTCACTAACTCAGAAAGAAAGACACAAACCTTTTGTCTTCAGGTGCTAAAACGGATCCCCGCCACATATCTCTAGATTTGTAGTCACTGAAGCAGCGAGCGTGTGCTCTACGTGTGAATTATTTTACTTGAATATTCAAGTGGTAATTTTTCGTGTAGTCTGAGGTGAGTGCGTGCTATATTTTTACTGCAAATTAAAATTTTATAAAGTCAGTGAGACAGTCTCCTGTGTATGATCGACCTTTTATATTCTGTTCTGTTTATGAGTTATGACTGGGTTTTTTACATTTTTTTAAATCACCATAAAGAGAAAAGCTTCAATGTTTTGCAGATATATATATATACAGAGATGCTTTTAAACCGCTTGTTTAAGTAATAACATCTGCCTTTGTGTTTACAGTATTTTGTGAATGTATTTATTGCCAACATGGAGGCACTAAAGAATCATTCTGGGTCAACAGCAGTATTTGGACCAGTTTGAAGCCATCGTTAGCTTTAGTGCACACACGTACTTTAATAATCTTTGAGAGATTAATGGGCAAAGGCCAAAGAAAGCTACAGTTACAGTTAGATTTGTTGTATTTACTCTGATGTAATCACACCTGCTGCACCAAATAAAACAGAGAAAAACCTCCTGAGACTCGTTTGACCGGGAATGATTCACTGCAACAATACTGAAGCTGTAAAGCAGCTGTTTTCAGTGCCTGTAAACACAGTCTGCTACAGATATACCAGCCACACCGGTGGAAAAAAAGCAGCATACTTTGGTGTTACAAAAAACCTGGTCTCTGGTATTGTATCATGCTGGTATTTTACTTTTCCCGCAATTATTTTGTGGTCATGTGGACCACTGCTCCAACGGTATGCTCCAACAGAACAATAGCACTTTTGTTTTGGTTCCTCGCACCGAGCCAGCAGCTGACTGCACAAATCCAACAATGACCTACTGCAGCAGTAAAGAGTCAGATTATGGTCAAAGATTATTTTAAATTTAAAGTATGATAGATATATGAGTTTTTCAAAAGATGATCTGTTAACCTAAGCCTATTTTATAAAGACAGGCAGGAATCCTCCAACCCATCTGGCAGATAAACAAAGAGGTCTGCAGGGCTGATTGCTCAGTTAAATTAAAAGAAAATCAGGTGGGCTGACTAAGACAGAGCTCTCAAACCAGTTGTCAGCTGTGTGCTTCTAAGCCCAGAGTTCAAATCAATCCACTGTTAATCTCAGTCTTCACTGCCCGCGGTGGAACAATCCCGTTAACTTCCCTTACTAATCACATCAACCGTGTGCGCAACATTGCAGCGGCTCAGCAGCAGAGCTGGTATGCACCTGTTTGTAAGATCTGAATGTGATTATTAATCACTTAATTGTGTCTATAGTGTAAGAAAACACACAAAAAAAGGCCATCGCAGCTTCCTAACACTTTGAAATTGCTTATTAACAGAAATGTTTAATGTACAGTGATACATAATATATGAAACAGAAATGTACAGGATCCACTGAAGAATCTGGAACCATAGAAAGTTTCTGCTTTCATATTAGAGCAGGTTAATATGTATGACATCATGGAAACGTGGTTTAAAAATGAAGCTATTTGGGAATAACAGGATAAATGCAGAATTTCCTAATCATTTTGTGCACTCTATCAATGCAGCATGAGGACCAAAAATGAAAAGAAATAACAAGGAAAATCCTCCAGGTTTACTAAACAATAAAGGAACACTCTGTGTTTATATGTAATGTTATTGGTGGCCTTTTCTTGCTTCAGCTGCTGCTGGCTGCTTGGGTTTCTCTTGAGGTTTTTGCCTGTCATCATCATCTCATCAGCCTGCACACCTGGCCTAACAGAAGAGGATTACGCCGCTTCAGCAGAGCGGTGTCACACACATAAGCTGGCTAATGTTCTACTGAGTAATCAGACAGGCTCATGCAGAGAGATGGGCGCCACCCAGAGGGCTGCAGCTAGAAGTGCATCCACTCCAAGTGGATGCCTCAATCTCTTTCCCCCCTCTAAGGTTTACTAGGGTAGCTCTACATGATTCACAGTTCAAACTAATCCTTATTGGAGCAGCCCCTCGGTCTGTCGTCTATCTGAAACAAGCCATACTAGCTCATCTCTCTCTTTAAGGGTAAACAGCAGGTAGGTGAGGCTGCTGTGTTTGAGAAGAGAGGATATGGACTCTCACTGACATCACAAGGAGCCAAAAGCAGGAAAAAGGAAGCTGAAAAGCTGAAAGGGAGCCTTTAAAAAGCAGCCTGAAGCCTGAGCGTCACTGGGGATACTTTTACACACCTCCCCATCTGAAAATTTGTTCAGATTTAACATTTAGAGGTGGGACTCGCCAGATACCCCACGATATGATATTATTGCAAATGTCAACATTTTGCAATATGCTGAGTATTGCAATAAATATATTATGATTTATCACCTTATTTCAACTTTAAATTATGTCCTCGGTTAAATTTAGTCAGAATCTGTTTTACCCAGTGACATAACGTTATCTCACTTCAGTTTTGGGTTTTTGTATTTTGGATGGCAAATAAGATTGTCACCAAAACTGCCATGAATGTTGTTGTAAGATGGAATCAGGCTTCTATTGGCAAACAATTTGGCAATCTGTCTGCATAGACAGAAATTCACATGTAACGATTACTTTTCCACTCAGCAACCTTCCTCTTGTATAGGAACATAACCAGAATACAATCAGCTGGTAGCCAGTTGAGTCGAAACCCCTGGAGTTGCTGTCACTGACAGAGGCTCAGTCGGATCGTGAACAAACATTTAGTCACCGCAAGCCACTAATGTATTCATTTATAGTTTGTGTAGCTACATGGAAGCTGCTGTCCTATTTTTACTTGTGCGACTGAGCTTTACTTTTGAGCCGATTTAATCTAAGTTCTCTCAGGTAACATTATCTCAGAATGGCGGTACATGGGATGAGACCTCTTGCTCAGTGTTACCAGAGGATGCATGCATGTATATAATACGACTCAATATCCTACTCAGCATGCAGAATGCACCATTGTTGAGTCGTGCTAATTATTTCACTGGACTATAATCCCTGACACAGGAAATGTAGAGCTAACATTGAACCTCAGATTGTACTTGCACAGATCGGGGTTTTGAACCTTTAGGGAGAGACCCGCCTAAGTTTTGTGCATATTGAAATCAGATTAAATTTCATGTGCAATCAAGGTAAGAAAATGCATTTTAATACCATGGTTCAACATAAAGACCAGTTATCATCATGAAGTCAATATAAACAGATCCTGACCATGTGTAATGGGCCTTAGCCTCCAAAATGAAGCAGAAAAATGAAGTCCTGTTCTTCAGCAGCCGTTTCAATGCTGTTTACATTAATTTACCCTAAAACTCATGACAAATGCCAGCAATGATCACATGTTGTGGTGACGCATGACTTAAATAAGGGACCATATGAAGCAGACACATGGGGAAAATAAAGGCTGTGTGACCTTGAGGTGAAACTACTAGGTCCAGCTGTGAGCGGATGATGCCACGCTGCAAATGTTTTTTAAAAGAAGATTTTTTTTCCAGCTTAAAGGTGTTGAAATGCTCCTCCAGAGGGAGTTGGATCACTGAACTGCCGGATTAGTCCGGACCACAACAGAGTCATGTCTGTGCATCCAGTCGTTTCACTGCAGGACTGTCTGTTTGATGACTTTCCCTTCTTTGTTAACGGCAAAGTTGTAATTCTTTGGATTGTCCAGTGCCTCCTCGATTCGTTGATCCAAGTTCTCCGTGGTGATGAAGTTCTTTACTTCCTCCTGAAAGAAAATGAAAGTTTTGTCAGTTTATCACTATGTTCCCTTTGCTCTACTTGCATAGTTTGGATGCAGAAACAACCCCTACCTGCAGCTGCAAAATCTCCCTCTCTTTTTCTTTGATGAATTCTTGCTGTTCCTGTTCCCTCTGAATGGCAGCTTCAATCTTCTTGCGCTCAGCTTCCTCTGCTTCTTTCTGGACCCTCAGAATTCTGAAATGATTTCCCCCCCAAAAAACATCACTTTTAGAATGAGACAGTTTCCATTCTGGAAGTGGAAGAAAGACACAAAGAGTGTATTCATGTCATCATCTTCTCTGCTCACCTGGCTTTCAGCATGCGCAGGTTCTCCTCGTTGTTCCAGCCCATCAGGGCTCGGTGCTCCTCCGCCTCCTGCCTCGCCCTCTCCTCCGCCTGAGAGCCCGTCTCCTCCTCGTACTTCTTTCGTAGCACCTCCTCCTTAAACTCCAAACTGACACACATAAAGAAAACTAAATACTCCAATCACACTGTCTTTACTCCAAATCTTAAAGTACACCAAGCATGTATCGTTTCATGTTTCTGAGACACTCTTAGTCACAGATTTGTGTGTAAGAGGTTCGAGAAATTGTTTACGAAGTTGTGTTCGAGTTCAGCTTTTTCAAAGCAACACAGAATATCTTTAAGACTGACGGGGAGCTCACTAAGTTGGAGTGACTATTTGTCACGGGAAACTGATTTTGACATACTGTCATTTAAACGTACCGGAGCGCCCTCATGATCAGCTTGTATTCCGTGTATCTCTCTTTGAGAACTACCATCTCCACCGGATCGACGGGGGGAGGCACTTTAATTCGCCCTTCTTTGGACTTGGCTACCGGGTCGGTGCGAGACTTTCGGCCCCGGACAGCTTCCACGAGCACGGCGCTCCTGGGCGCTAAGAGCCGCGCCACCTGCACGCTCCTCCCGCCGATTACCTGGAACATGTCAGCGTCTAAATGTGGGAACAGGTGCCGATTCCTAGATGCTAAATGTAACGCTTAATGAGAGCATTTGAGTTTGAAATCTGCGGTCTAGGTTAACATTAGGGTACAAATGTTATCGACCTAACACGGCAGCCATTTTGCTGCCCTCTGACCAGCGGAAGTGATTAGCAACGAACGAGCTGCGCATGCTTGACTGCCTCCTGGAGGTTAGCAAAGGTTAGTTAGGTACAGAATAAGCTATCAATAGTTATCAAGATAACAAACTCGGTTAAACAGCGTAATACACGCTGTTTTCTAAATATATTAAACGTGAGACACAAGAGTAAAGCCATTTCTACGAAAAATATTTTATATTATTTTATTGATATCTCTCGGATTTACATTTTCAGTGGGATAATAATTTCACGTTTGTGGAGTATTTCAATTAAGAATTGTGAATAATTATAAGTCAGAGGGGGTGTCAAATGGACAAAAAGGGTCCAGTCCGGCCCGTGGATAGCTTTGTGGAAAATGTGGAACTTTCAGAGGAGGAGGCCATTTATGGTGAACCTTAAACGGTATTTTAAATTTTTGGTTTTAGTGTTTTTACTGAAGAAGAGATAACTTATGACCTGTCATACACCAGAGTAAGTAGACTTCTGGATAAAGGTTAATTACAGGAAAATTAGTTTTTCTGTTCGTGGTATTCATTTTAATAACAGAAACGTTCCTTCCTGTTCACTATTTACAATAGAAATTCCTAGTTGTTAAAAAGTAATGGAATTGTTTCTGTGAATTCACAAATAATTGTCCTACATTTCTTTATTTCCTTTAAAGTGTGAACCCAGCTGACATGTTTCTTTAATTTACTGCAGGAAGTATTATTGAAATTACACCTTTAAAAAGATCTGAGAGATTAAATGTGTAAAGCTTCTTTACATTGAAAGCAACAAATTTTGATGTGTATTTTGAAAGCTTTTTAGGCAATAGCTTCATTAGTTCAGCCCACTTAAGAGGAAATATAGCTGTATGTATACATTTGTTGTCTTCGTGATTCTTCTTCTTTCTTTCAAGGTTGAGCAGCTTGACGCCTGATGTCAGACCGGTGACTGATGATCCTGCTGAGGCAATATATCAACACATTACAGGTAGAGACGCCTTACCAGCAGCATGGAATGATGGGAAATGGTGCAGTGCCGCTGTGTGTCGGTCGGTGACATTGAGCGCTGTAGGTAAAAAGAAACTGTGTGGGAATGCAATCTTAAACAGCAAAATGGCACCATTGTTACTGTTCTATGGGATTTTCAAGTAGGATATTTACAGCAGCCTTAAACACAAATAAAAAAAAACAAACCTGGTCTCAGGTATCAAATGGTAGTTGCAATTATTTTATCATTCCTGCACATTTTATTTTCTAATTTCCCAGAATGTCTTTAATATTTGACAAAACCCCAAATATGATTGAATGAGAAATTATTTTGGACACATTTGTGTTACTAAGGAATGATGTTGAGCTTTGTAAATTGGTGATTAAAAGTTTTTTAACTTTAATATGTATTTTGGACATTAGAAGGTGTCATTCAACTGCTAACGCCTAACAGGTAAGTTTATTAACTTGCATCTGAAGCTAAAATTAGGCTGCATTGATGTCAGGGTGTGTGCTTTAGCTTTTTGTCTCCTAAACATCTTTAAAGGTGTGAAATGAAACTAAAAAATATGACACGTGCTGCAGGTGAGTTATATGTTTATTCAGCTTGTTGCCGGCTGTTACAGGTACACCAGTTACAGGTGCAGACTTTGTATTACTTTCACAGATGTAAAGCACCACATAGATCTACGATCAGCAGACAAACAACAAGGAGCTCCTGCAGTTATCTTTCGGCTTCACTGGTTAGCTGGGAATGAACTTACAGGACAAAAAAAATCTAGTGTAGTTAGACTCAAAGACACAGTACGTGATCATAAGGTGGAACCAGTAACAATTAGTCTTCTGCAGCATTTAAATGTCCAGATTGGTTTTTGCTGAAAAGTAGGAAGGCCCAAATTCACTCTGATTTGTTGCTTACAGCTTTTGTGTAGACGTCAATGCAGAGGAAGACAAACTAAAAAGGACACAAATGAGTCGATAACATAATGAAAAGAAATTTTTAAGGTTACTGGTTCACTGACTACTAATACAACTACTACTACTACAAAACCAGGGATGCAGGACATTCATTGATTGGAAGAGTTCCTTGAGGAAAATCAGCTCAAACACATATAAAATCCAAGCACTGAGAGTTATAGGTTGGGTTTTTTACATCCTCATTAACAAACAATTGGTCAGGTGTTTGCACAACGAGGGTTCGGAAAGGTCAGATGGTTTACTCTACTGTTGTCTTGAATGTCATACGTGTCTGACTGAGAGGAACTCCACCAAAACAACGCTGCTGTCCAACGCAGACATGTAACTAATGCAGTGCAGCCACTCTGCCCTTCGCAGTTTGCCTTCTACTTGATGTGTAGTGTCAGAATGTGTGTAGAAGAAGGGGGACTTCTGGTGGACCTCTTGTTTAGCACAAGGGCACAGCGGTCTTGAGAAAGGTGAGCTTTGATTTGTAGTTTGGGATTTTTTGGGTAAAGATGAAATAAATTTTGCGGGGAAAGCGAAGGGAAGAGCATGAAAGAGGGAGAGAGGTCATGTTAGGGAGGAATTCTCAGGATGTTCAGCTTAAAGATGAACGGGTAAGAAGATATACTCGATTTATGCCAGGGTCGGTGGCATTTAGGGTTTTAATTTAGAGCAGGAAGGGAAGGGTACGCCAGACGAATCTCCTCCCCCTCCAGGAGTTTCCTGTGAAAGTAAAGGAAAACAGATTGTTTGCTGTTTATGTCTTTATATATAGCTGAAGTAAGACAAATTAAGATAATGTAAGAAAAAAGATCATGAAACTTTACTGAAAACAAACACTGTTGGTGTAGATGAGCAGGAAGAAGGGTGTGTGTCACCTGTATGCTGCTATTTCAATGTCAAGGGCCATCTTCACATTGAGAAGGTCTTGGTACTCTCTCAGGTAGCGCGCCATCTCCTGCTTAGCTTCAGCAATATTGCGCTCCAGCTCACTTATCCTCATCTGTAAAAGTAAAAAGCCGCTTCAGCTCAGTTTAAGTGTCACAGTTAGCAACAGTCTGCTTCAAGCAGGGCAATGGTAAGCGAGAGTAGCTGCTTTGGTGTGCTCTCCCAGTTTGTTTCGACTTTAACTTTGCAGACGTTCACCTGCACTGTGAGCCTGTCATTATTTCCTGCTGTGCAGTAGAGCACAGGGAGGGTTAGCTGCTGCAGAGAATATATCTACATGTCATCCTGTAGATGAAAGAAACATCATTTCTTCTTGCTGCTTTGTGAGCTTCCTTTTTAGCTGTGCTGGTTAACCATGTAAACACCACCTTTTCAGTTCTCTGCAGCACTATTTCAGAAGAAAGACTCTAAAAATAGCCAAAGGAAGAAGGCTGTAAGTCTGAAAATAAAATGCATGTTGGAGAATAAGGCTGAGCTCCATTCTCCCTATGCAGGCTCTAATTTCCCTGGTTCTTTGCCTCACCTGGTACTTTTCCACCTCCTTCGCCTGTGTTTCTTCCAGACCTTCCAGTTGCTTATTCAGGGAGTCGATGACATTCCGGAGTGCCTCGATCTCCGAGGAGCGGGACTGGAGCAGTCTCCGGTACTCCATGGTCTCCTCCCGGATGGCGTGCACGGCCTCGTTGTTTTTGCTGGCCATCTCTGCCACGCTTGCAAACTTGCTCTGGTACCACTCCTCGGCGGCCTGCATGTTCTTGTGCGCCAGCCGCTCGTACTGAGCCCTGATGTCTCGCAGCGCAGTGGACAGATCAGGCCGGGACACCTCCATGTCTATGCTGATGTTGGCCACCTGCAGCTGGGCCTGCAGCTCTGCTTGCTCCTCTGCAAAGACTTTCTTCAGGAACACCATCTCATCGCACAGGGAGGCCACAGTGGCTTCTGCATCACAGTTGTAGACCACGGCCCTGCTCGCCTCCTCTTTGGCCCTCTGCAGGGCCTCCTCGGCATCCATGCGCCGCTGTGCCTCCTCCTCATAGCGCTCCTTCATCTGCTCATACACATCGCGCAGGTAGTCCTTCTCTGCCTCCATCCTCATCTTCTCCCCATTCTCTGAGTCAATCATGGCCCTCAAACTCCGTGCCTCACCTTCATAGAGCGCCTGCAGACGGGACGGATCGTTCTGCCGCCTCCTCAGCGCATCTAGTTCAGCCAGTAGGGCTCGGTTCTGCAGCTCGAGGTGCCTCACCTTCTCAATGTAGGTGGCGAATCGGTCATTCAGGTCCACAAGCTGTGCCCTCTCCTGGGAGCGCAGGCCCAGCAGCTCTGTGTTTAGAGAGCTGGCTTGAGCCAGGTTCATCCTCTGAGATCCATCTGGAAAGGAAGAGGAGGAGGTCCTTAGGATCCTCTTACCAGATGGAGGAGCTCGTGAAGAAGGGTAGAGAGATGAAGACACGGAGGATTTGGTGGTGGTTCGGGAGCCTTTGTAGCTGTCCCAAGGGCGGCGGGTGGAGAAGAAGGAATCGTAGCTCATGATGAAGTTTTGTTGTGGATTTTTTTGTTTGTTTGTTTAAGAAAAGGAAATGTATGTTTCAGAAGGTTTTTTTTTTATGTCCCCCTTGTTCTGCACACCATCGGTGTGGATGAGTGAGCGCTTTTGCACTGCACCAGTTCAGTGATGCTGCAGATCCTGAGCTTTTATAGAGTCACGTTGCTCCCCCCCTCCAACACAGAGAAACATCAGCGCTGTCAGCATTCACCAGGCCAATAGCAGGCTGCTGCAGTGAAGCGAGAGCAGCTTGGTTTGGAGATTCACTTTCAGCCACAGCAGGCAGTGAATGTGCAGTAGGGCAGATTTTTATTTAATGTGCTCTAAAATAGCATTGAAATCAATCATTGTTATGCCTCTATAAATTCCCAAAGGTGGTATTTTACTTTATACACTCAGCACAGGCTCAATTGCATTATCAAGCAGGGTACTTGCTTAGATTAAATATAAAAGAAACCTGGGATAGAACATATGAAAATGACTTGAAACAAAGACTTCTCCCCAACCCAGTCAGAGAAAATCAATAGTACTAGTAATAGAGAGAATAAGGGCATATGCCATAAGGAACAGACAGGCATTTAAAGCATTTAATGCTCCAGGGAACAATATTTAATAATTACTACAGAGATGAATACATAGATGACATCACATGGATTTGTGGTGGATGTGTACTACATTTAAAAAAATAATAATAATAGGAACTGAACACATGGTTCATTGTTGGTTTATTGCTTTTTGAGATATTTAACAAACAATTACTTATTCACGTTTCCTCTAGATTGTCGTCTTTCTTAACTGCCATCTGTGCTGTTGCTGTGAAAGATCTTTGTAGATATACACCCTCCTACAATTGCCCTTATACTGCTTTTATTTCCAGAGTGTCTTTAGACATATCTGTTTGATCTAATTAGATTGCAAACTGATGAGTCAGGGATGTTCTTCAGCTGTCCTGACTCTGACAGTGTGTGTGGGAGACACCACTGAAGAAGAAAGTGCTACAGTATCTGTATGTGCTGACACACAGAAACCCTCCGGCTGTTTCACACTCAGAGATGAGTCAGAGTTTATGCCTAATCAGCCTTAGTATTTACTTAAAAAGAGGCATCAGGCTGATCTAGCGAATGGTTACAATTCCTGCTCATGTTTATTGGCCATTAAAGAAAACACTTTACTCTGTTTTTCACAGCAAATGTTTCTACAGATGTCAGCAAGGTCTGCAAAACATTTAAAAAAAGACAACTCTGTTACAACTTTGAGAATCCATCCAGCATCCTGTGAAAGGCAAGATACTCACAAAACATTTTGAGAATGAAGTGCCATGCTTTATTGCTTATATTAAAGGTTTTTTTTTTTTTTGGGGGGAAAACTTTTTTTTTTGGTGCTTTTATGAGTATTTTAAACATCACATTTTAACTTAAACCTTAAAAAACACTGATAAGCTACACGGTGCCACTAGGTGGCAGCATTCGGCCTTTAGACCGCATGGAAGTAACATTATTGGTAACGTTGTAGTTTACTGTAGTCCCCAATAGAGGCTATTGGATTGTTGTTTTACATATTTCTGTGTGAAATGCATAAGTGTTATTATATTAGAGAGAAGCAAAATGTGTTAAATTTCTAAGTCTCTGCTGTGGTCAGTGCGTTAGCTCAATTCAAATTGATTTGTAAAAACAACATTATATATCAAAAGTGTTACTGCCAATATCTTTCATAAAATATGTGACAGTTATTACAGAAATCTATAGACTTTTACTGCACAAGTTTTATTTAGGAGTTTCTGCCAAATACCAGCTGTAATTCTTTGCAATGAAAATGCTCTCGGCTAAAAGGGTCTGTGAATAATCCTGAACAAAATATAGTCTTGATTTAGAAGAAAACATAAGGCTTTAAAATGTAAACCATTTAATAACAGACTCCTTATGCTGCTTTTGTTTCTGTGTCCTGTCATGTCTCACTGAGATGTTTGAACACAGCCATTAATGATATTATATAATTCAGTTGTCACAACAACAGTCGCCTCTAAGTGTTTTTGTAAGTTAAAGAGCTAGAAAGAAGAAAACATAATAATCAAACGTCCAATGAGCAAGCACTTGGCAACAGTGGGAAGGAAAATCTCTTATTTAACAGGAAAACACCTCAAGCAGAACCAGGCTCAGGGACGTCCAACCATCTGCCGTGACCAGTGGAGGGTGAAGTGATATTATCTGCTTCCTCAGCCATGACATGATATCACATGCGCCCCCCGAAAGATTTTTTGGGAAATCTTTCATGGTTCAGGTGTGGAAGGGTGAATTCCATATTTAAAGTTATCACTTAAGCAATAAAGACCAGTCCTAGAGTGCATTCCTCCACACCACACATGAACTTAGATCCAGTCCTTATTCAGTAGGATATCTGGATCCAGATGAGCTGGGAATATTTTCTTAAGAACATCAAGACAACGTCTTTCAGTTTTTGTTTTTTTGTTTTTTAAATTTAATGTATTTGTGACGATATTACATGTACATATAAGATAATATATAATTTTACCTCATCTCATGACGATAATAAATCCCTTAAAAAATTCCTGGATCAAAACTTGAAACTCCGATTTTATTTTTTATTTTATTATTTTGTTTTTTGTTTTGTTTTTGTTTTTTACAAATTCTATGAATAAAAAGATGCTTAGGCAGAAAACTGAGCCGGTCACATGACCTACTTGGCGGATGTGAAAACAATAACATACTCATCTGAATAAAGATTTTAGGGAGTTTCTGTAATAAGATCAGCGCTTAAAAAATGTTATCAACCAGAGCGGACTTTAAAAGAGACACATAGACCCTAAATTCAAAAAATAAAAAGAGAAAGAATGACTTAAAGTTTTGTCTAAAGACGTTTTTAGTGATATCTGCATTCAAGCGTTCAAGGCTTTGAGCACTAGGTGGCGCAGTTGCACTGCATGTCAGTGTGGCAGCTGTAGATGGTTCCAGATGAAATAGTTTTGTGAATAAATGTATTTCCCCACTTACCTTTGACAGCATACGCTCAACTTAAGATGCTGTCATCACCTGCTGCAGGCTCTGCCTACAGCTACCATAATCACGATCGTGTCAGCGAGTCTCGTACAGTCAAAGAAATCTGCAAATCCCATGTTTATTCAGAGGTCATTTACAGCGAATATATTTCCCAGTGGTACATAAGGTAAAAATAAGTACATAAAACATTTTAGTTGACAGATAGACTTTGGAATGTCAGGCTTTTCATTGCTAAAATCGTTTGTACGTTTACAAGAATTGCAGGTGCACATTTCCACGTTTAAAGAAACAAAACAAAAACAAGTCAGTGTGTGTACTTGAACTATATGACAGAAATGAAAGTCAGATCTCACCTCCAGTGTTTTACATTCACTTGAAATGTGTAAGATACCTATTTACACGAAATCACATAAAGAATATCAGACATGAGCGACGTATAAACTACAGAAATTTACCTTTAGGCTAAGTTGCAATACAAAAAGTGTATTCCTTTGGTAGAAAACATAGATCTCAAGGAAGGGAGAAAAAACATGTGCAGGACATAAAGAAGTAGATCTTGCATCTCTTGCACGGCCTGTCACACTTCTTACATCCATGGGGCCAATGGGCTGTGGGACTAAACATTCACCTCATATCAGGAGTGCTGCATATTCATTTATGTTGGCAAGAGCAGCCCGCTGACTGCTGGGCTGTTTGCACTGGCACTGCGTTACTTGAAACACAGCAACTTCTGATTATAGCATGAAGGCGATCATTCACAGGTCGATCTGTATAGTACTTTGGTTCATTTTTTTAATCACCAAGTCTTTAAAGAGTGCTGGGGGTTATATTACGCGCAGTGCGTCCAAGTGTAAACTATGTGCCCACAGTTACAGTATAGACAGAAACACTGGAAATGAAGCTGTTACATGTACAAAAAGAAGAAAAAAAAGAATAGAAATCGTATTTCTTCAGATCGTTTCTTTCTTTTTCCAGACTTGTCTTGTGCGTCAAATGGAGCGATTTTACTGCCACAGACATTAGTAATTTCAGACAGTGCCACTCAAACGTGATTAACTTCATCTGCTCGCTCAGAAGATTTTCAGCCGTTTGCCAATCGCTCTGCCCCCCTTTGCCACTCTCTGGCTCGGCTGGTCTTTAGAAAGCGGGCAGTACTTGATGGTGTGCGCATTGTCACCGTTGGCACTGCAGAGGGGGCAGGTGTACGCCCGGAGGATGGGGCAAAGCACTCTGCCGTCCACTGTCTTCAGGATATGGGTGCCGTAAACTTCCTCTGGTGCGCCGTTATTCCGACAGAAGACGCACACTTTGGGCTCCGGTTTGCCCCTCTGAGCCTGTTTGCGTCTTCGGTCCATGGCGAGCAGGTCGAAGCCAGAGAAGCTTCCCTTGTACGAGGGGGAATCTCTGTCCCCCAGCTGCGAATCACTAGCGAGGTGTTCGTATGGCCTGAGAAGCGAGATGCGCTCTTTGAGATCATAGATGGAGATTGGCGGGGAGCTCGGGGCCGCGCAGTAGCAGTCCAAGGGTCCGTCGTTGGTGTCCCTGCCCTGCCCAATTACGCAGGAGCAAACCGGGGAATCGTCCTCCAGTCCCAAAGTCGCTTTAAGAGACTCGGTTATAGAGTTAGGGCTGAAGGGCGGACTGTTGATCTTATTTTTGGCGACAAGTGTCGACAGCCCGAGGTAGTCGTTCCAAAAATTAAAGGTGTAATCATAAGGAGACCGCGCGTCCAGGTAACCGCGGTCTAAGAAATCCATCCTGTCAGAGCCGCACAGTTTAACGTCCACACTAGTGAATAGGCGTTTTGGATTGGATGGCTGTCAGCATGAGGATCCAGTGGAGGGTTCCTCTCTCTGCTCCTGCTGGGTCTACTTTGCAGAACATTGAGCATGCAGGCGCTGTTAAGTTGCCCAGAATAAAACACGGGGGCGTGGTTTGGTTCAAGTTGATTTTCTCTGTGGCCCCATAGGAGGGTCTACAGAGCAGGGAGTGACTGAGCTAGGAAATCATTTCCCCTCCCATAATATGACGATTAGCACCGAAATCTCTTTGTGTTAAAAGAAAGTAAGCTACCCTGTTGGTTGGGTTTGAAAGAAATCAGCTGTTACTCTGTTGAACTCAAGATGTGACTGGTTTTATGACATCTTGTCAATTTACTTTCCCCCCCTTCGCTTTTTAGTATGGATAGATAGATAGATAGATAGATAGATAGATAGATAGATAGATCAGAGTGGATTTGACCTGTCTTCCAGTGTATTTTGTGTTTCCACAACTTTTTCCAAGCTGCTTTTTAAAATTTTATGTGATAGAGGGTCAAAGGAGTTCTTAAAAAGTCATTCTGCTCTGCAGAATTCTGTATCATCCTCCCAATGGTAGCAGTTCACACAGAGAGTACAGATTGTGGTTCTAAACAGTGTGAATGATCTTTCTGACCAAAGATTTACAGTGCAGCCTGGTGAAGTTGTTATCCATGCAGATATTGTGATATTTGTCAAACTGGATTTGTGTAGTTGGTTGGTTTTTAATAACAGTGCTGCTCAGACCAGCATCATATTTAACCCTTGTGTTGTCCTCGGGTCAAAAATGATCCCTAGGTGAATGGCAAACAAGTATATGGGAATCCCGAGGACAACACAAGAGTCATAAGAATAATCTCGCCTTGTTTGTGTCACACCAATCGACAAACCGCCTTACATTTGAACGATACATGCTTATATTTTCATTCTTAGAGACTCAATTCAGCACAGCAGACTTGACTTATTTTCTCAGATTTGTCTCCACAGCCACAGAATCGTGGCAGGAGGGTTGAATTTTCCATCTGCGCTCTATTGCACTTTTCATGACATTAAATAAGATATTTGTTTAGCTTCTTTTTTAATCTTCATCTTGTGAATCGAGGCTTGTTAATATCAATATAACATAGCCTGAAAAGTAAAAGTCACAAAGATGCCAAAACTGGTGTCACAAGTAGGAACTCTTTGATTTAGGGAGGGAGGGAGGTCACAAGCCCTGAACAATAGATTATGATGTGTCTTAAAGAATAGGTCATATTAGACTTTGTCCTATATCTTATACTGGAATCACATTATGAATGAGTCTTATAACCAATATGGATAGAGGAATCGCTACAGCAACCAAAACCTCTTTTGGGCATATGGGCATATGAGAATTGATTTAATGCTTGTTCCTTACACTAAAAGTCCCAAAAGTTTTTTTTTTGCAATGCCTTATACAACTTTAATGACAATCACTTTCTAGTTTGAATGAGTTGGGGATACATCAGTAGCTGAAGAGACAAGAAATCAAAGAGTGCCACATAGTGGAACTAGGAAAATTCAAAAAGTGTAGGACATAGTGATGTAACGCCTCAAGAAGCAGTGACCTTTAAGTGCGCACACACAAAAAACATCTTGTGCTTGACCACTGTAGCAGATTCCATCCTTCACCGATGATGAACCTGTCACTTCTGCATGAAGCTGCACATGTTCTGCTTCCCCTGAGCCCACGGCTTGGTGCTCACAACCAGTCCTCCTCTGCTCCATTGTCTCGTCCCTGTAGCAGGCCGTTTAACTTCATTAATATGCATTAAAAAGGAGTGTGCCACATCTGTGTGTGTGTGTGTGTGTGTGTGTGTGTGTGTGTGTGTGTGTGTGTGTGTGTGTGTGTGTGTGGTGTGAGTCAAAGCCCTGTAAGGAGGGCGCCCAAAAAAAGAGCTTGATAACTGGCCTGACTGCTGGGACAATGACAGTGTTACTATTTTTGTCACACCCTCAAGTGAAATATTAAGGACAGTGAAAATTGAGACAGAAGTCATTTGCATGTCTTATATTTTCAAATTGGAGCTCAGATTAATTTTCTGACTGTGGTTTTCATTGATGAAAAAAAACCCGTAACGGTCTGCTGCAGATTAAGACTTAGTCTGTGGATATGATTCTGCGATTCGTTTACAGGAAAACAGAAACGGCATCGTTTTGTAAGCCACTTTGGTGCGCCTTATAAATGTGCTTGTTTATAGGTTCATGTTCAGCCGCTGGGAATATATATTGTGGAATAAGACCTGTATTTGGGTCACAAAAGGGGGGGGGGGGGGGGGGGGGGGGAGTTTCATTCTAAATCATGCCAAAATCTTCAAGAAAATATGCGTGCATCCAAAATTTGCACGGGCCTATAAATCCTGGGAAGGCTTCTTTTAAAAGCGATTACATTCGCTGCTGCTGCAAAAGTTTCCAGTGAGTGTAAGACGGCGCAAAAGCATGAAGAAAATCATGTTAGCGAGACAGTTTCTTGTATGTGAGAATAAATTATCATCAGAATACACCACATGGTCTCTTTTCAAGGTCACCTCCAGCTTTGCATGCACAAAGGAAATCATGAGAGAGCATTTAAAAGATGAATGGCTGCCATATCACAATGGATAAATTGCGCGGGGGCCAATATGACATGTGGCTCTGCTGCTTTGGGCCTACCCTTTATTATTCTTAATGCAAAACGTGTTTGGCAGCAACAAAGGAAGTATTGATAATGAATATGAAATGCATTTATTTATTTTTACATTAGAAGATTTCATTTCAGACTCACACTATAGCAGGGCAACAGCAGAAAGGTTTCTGGCATGAGAGGAGAATAGGCAAGTTCATTTATAAAAAGCCTTTTAAAAGACAGGTCAGCTCACAGGTGCTTTACACAGTAAAGCAGTAAAGAAGAGAAATGTTTGATTAGTTAGTAAGTCATGGTGCAGTTAACTGCATCCATTTTCTTAGCTTAAGCTTACGGGGCTGCCAGAATCTATCCCAGCTGTCATGGGGCCAACACAGAAAGTGAGACAAGCACACACACTCACATCCAAACCTACGGCCAGTTTGAAATCACCAATTAACCACAGAGCATGTCTTTTACTGTGGGAGGAAGCAGCTTCACTAGCAGGCACAGTGAAGCCATGCAAACCCCACACAGCAAGACAAAAGAAAACAAGGTGGCTCTTATTGTGGATTTAAATGTTACGTCTTTAAGAGAAGCTAACATATTTTAAATCACTGGTAGTCATCTACTGCAGCTTTAATATAGTTGCAGCCCAGTGCTGGTCTGCTCTCTGAAAGATGGAATAAACCTACGGTACTTGATTTATGTTTTTTGGAGTAAAAACCTTTGAACGTGAGTGTAAAGTGCAACGTCAGAGCAGAAGTAATACGATCAAACGTTATCGTCACCTCTGATATATCCTATCGTATTAACGAACATTGTGCACATGTGATTTTCTTACATTCAATATGCTCCTAAGGAAAACACAAAGGGGCGTTGCCTTTGTTACTGCTATATTTTGCGTTTAAATGGACGTCATTGATAAGAAATATGCTGTGGTAAATTACTAGGTTTCAATGTGTCATTTACATTTTAAGCAATAAGAGTCACTTGAAAACAATGAATGATAAGCTTAAACTGGTAACTGGCCAAGATAACAATAAGTAATCACTACTTCCATTGTAGCCAACCAGCAGTAACAAATGTTGCTTTGTTCACATAAAATGTGGCCATTGTTTAACTGTGTTTACTTCACAGCCCTGTCTGGCCTCCACACAAGCTCATTGCGGAGTGCGAGCCACAGCTAGTGTTTTTTCTTCTTTGTTTTACACAGATAAAGCTACAATAAATGCAGCGACTCTGGCTTGCAATGGGTTAAAAAAAATCTTCATGCATAAATACGGCTCCAGAGTGAGATGATGGTACCCAGAGGCCTCCCAGGCAGCTCTGTCTGCTCTACAGCCGAGGCAGAGATGGGCAGCCGCTGCATCCCCATTCATCACTGTCAAGTTGAATAGAAAATTAACAAATCCGTTAATTAAAAGACCTCTCTAGACTCTAGTGTGTTTGTGTGTGTGTGTGTGTGTGAATCTTGTGCCAGCTGCACTGCTTCATTGTGCAAGCTACAGCAGCCTGGCACAAGAGACACACACAACACTCCCTTCAATGCTAACATACACATGCACACAAACACCCACCGCTCCTGCCGACCCCTGCCATTCCTGCCGCTGCATTAATTACATAAACTGCATAATGTGGCCAGCCTGAGCTTCATTTCATTCCCAATCTCTGTCTGTCCCCAGACACAGACTAGGGTAGGGAATCAGTTGGGGCTTTGATCCCTGACCTCTGCCTCCTCTCGTGGGAATATAAGCCTGCGCCCCTAACGGTCATCCATCTGCACACACCCCCAAGACCCCCAGCTCCTAGATTCAGCCCAACCCCAGACACGTGTCAATGTCACCAGCAGCAATAGGGAGCGCTAAACAAGCCAAGGTCAACCTGAAATTAGGGGGTGTCTTTCGCCCTGTCAAGTGCTTTGTCACGACCACCAACTCGCTGAATGCCGCCTGCTATTACTTACCCCAAGACTCCACCCATTCCCCTCAACAGCACGCATTCACGTATTCACACACATGTACTTAATACCCTCTCAACATGGCTGAAGTGGTATGACTGAAAGCACTGTTCATCTGCATGTACACCTTGAGATTGGTGGACATTTTTTTTTATTTAAAGCTGATTCCATGATACACTTTTTAAAATCCATTCCTTAAAATTGAGAGCTGGACTAATTAATCAGCAGTTCCATGTATTGTGTTTTAAAATTAACGATATCTCTGGCATACACCTCAAACCTACGACGGTTCCACCTTATCCCAATGGAGTTTGGCAGTTTCTTTGTTTTATATACAGATATTGCAAAATGATTCATTGATAAATTATAAAACAGTCAGCAGATCAGCAAATTTTCTTCTTTTTTTACTTTACACATCTTCAAAGAAAGGCTGGGATTATTGCTAATTCCAGGTCATTTCTGTAGATGGCCGCCTCTTTCTGAGCCTGGTTCTGCTGGAGTTTTCTTCCTATTAAAGGGGACTTTTTCCTTCCCACTGACGCCAAAGT